ATGAACAGCAAAAAGTTAAGATGGGCAGCAATAAGAAGGCTACACCATTAAATATCTCAAAATTCTATAGCTCATAAAAATGACACTTGAAGCAACTTGGTATATATAATCTATTAGCAGAAAGTGCCCAGTGCTGCTCAGGTATTCTAAGAAACAAAACAAAAAAAGTTATTTTAAAATGGATAGTGTAATTTGGGTTGTGTGTATTGGTCTACCATCTTGATTCAAAGTGGTGCTCAGCATCTAGACATTGACAAAGACCACTGCCTGCCCCTTGGGAAACCTTGTGCTGAATTTGGCAATGATATCTCAAGGTGTGGATGAACCCACAGAGAACAGACAAACGGACAAACGGACAACCCACTTTCCAAAATGGTGTGGTCTACAAATGTACCAAACTGAGAACTGATTGTGGGGGGCGGTGTCCCTTCAGAATTTGTACTAATAAAGTTAGGTGGTTTAGGAAACTACAAAAGCTTACTCATAATTTTGAACAGATTTACAGGAGTATTTCTTTCACATTTTGGTGATAACTGTTGTGTATTTTATCCAGACTCATTAAGGAAGCTGATCCTCTGTTGGTTTGGTAACTTTCTGAGCAGTGGTTCAAAAATTATTAAGGTTTCCATGTTCCATTAAAGCCCAAGGCAGCAACTACTGGTAAATTAATGTGGTATGTGCACATTTCATTTTTAATTAAACAAAAAAAATCCCAGTGTCTGCAGTAAGCCACATAGTGGGCACTATGTGCAATATCTACGGTATTCATTTAGCTATGGAATATGATAGTAAAGTGCAGTAGTCAGATGAGGAGTGGCCAACCTTTTGGGGCCCATGAGAAGGTGCTGTGAGTCCTGAACAAACATACCATACTTTTCCTTGTACAACACGCCCCCATGTATAACACAACCCCTATTTTGGGGGACTCAAAACCTAGTATTTTAACAAATTTCCTTTTAAAAAAACCAAGGGAAATTCATTTATTAAAAACCCTGCTGGCTGAAGGCTAGAGTTAAGGCTATATTGTTGGCTCAAGCACCGCAAAGCTTAGAAACTGGGAGTTACCGTAATGCTGATGCCTTAACAGATATAACCCTGTGATCAGCAAAGGTGTTGCACAATCTTGCTGTTCCTTGCATCAGTATCTGGCAGGATGGTTCAAACACTGGGAGATGAGGGCCTCTTCTGATGCAATAGGAGTGAGACTGGTGGTACTCCTCATGACCTGCTACATGAAGCTCTGTTTCCAAGCACTGTCATGATGGGTGATTGTGCCAGTAATGAAAAATATCAAAGCAAGTTTTGAAAAACAGTTCGTCCATTTAAACAGACAATGCAAAAGGTGAATCTTGGCAGTGTGCAGGCAGTCAATATTCTGATTTTCAACAGGAATGAATTGCTTAATGATTCTGATTTCAGTGCATTTTAGGCCAGTGCCTCTCCACTCCCCACCACCCAAAAAGTGCTCACAGGAGCTCACGTCAATTCCAAGTTAGTCAACTGAGCTCACAAGGCAACCACAGAAGTCTTGCAGCATGCCTGCTGGCAAAAATCTCAACGTGATAGCAAATGGACATTTTGTTCTTGTTCATCATGCGGCAGTTCCCATACCAGAATCAGAAAGCTGAACTGTCAAGTCATTCAGTTTTGCTTTGGGACTTACAGTCCTGACTTCGGGACTTCAAAGCAATCAATCATTTGGCATCAGTCTGGCATCAAGCAACTGGAAGACAGGCAGGCCCTCCCATTGGTCAAATTTGAATTGCTAGGTTAGGGCTCAGTAAGGTGCTGAAACACAGAGTCAAAATGGTTCCCCATCCTGGTCTTAACCCATCCTGCCAGCTACTGATGTAAGCAGCAAACAGGCTTGTGCCAATTCTCAGGAAGATTCATCTGCAAGTACAGCAAGACACGGGACCATGGCTCCGTGGCACAGCAACTGCCTTGAAAGCAGAAGGTTGCGGGTTCAATCCCCGACATCTCCAGGTATGTCTCTACTCTGCCTAAAACCCTGGATAGCAGCTGCCAGGCAGTGTGGACAATACTGAGCTACATGAACCAACATCCTGACACAGTATAAGGCAAAGTGGGGCATTTTTGGTTCAAAGCGCTCCATCCTCCCTCTCTGAACTTGGGCCTGAAAGACCAATAAATGGTTTGGCCAGGTGGAAAGGGTTGTAAGCAAGAACAATTTGTGACATTACACAACAGAATTACTGATCACAGGGCACACATGGTAGTTAGCTTCCTGGCTTTGGAGAGATTGAGACAACATGAGATAACCTTAACTTGAGTCTTCAATTGGCAGGTTTGTGTGTGTGTTTTCACTATTGGATATTTTTCTCTTCTGGGTGCAGTGTCCTGGGAATCCTACCATTACAGAACTTAACAGAAAAGTCTGCCAGGCCTGCAGTTCCTTTCCTTCCCAGGAAAAAGTGATCAACAGTTCAGCTGCTTGCCCTATCGAAAAGCTGTTAGTTTCCCTCTTTCTTTTCCTTTGCTCCTTTAAGCTGCCGTTCCCGCTTTGAAGAAATGGGAGATGGGGGGGGGAATGCTGCCCACATGTCACCAGGACAAATGAGACCAAAGTACTTCACTGAAATCGTTTGGCTATTGGTGAACTTGGTTCTGTAAGCTCCCTTGGAAAATAAGAGGTTTGCTTCCAAAGCAAGGAGGAAAGGTGTGTGTGAGAGAGCATGTATAAACTAAAATCAATGAACCCTTCAAAGGCAGGGAAAATTCAGTTCTCCAACAGCCTGTCATGTTCTAAAGGCCAAGAAAGAGTGAGACAAAGGAATCAATAGCTAAGTCTAAAGCTAAGGTTTGCTGAGAGCTTGCAATGGCCTTTGCGCAAAGAGACGCAGCTCCAGGCCCTTCTGGACTCCAGGGAGTGAAGGCAGATGGAGGCCCAAAGGTAGAGATGGAAGGATCTGTCAGTTTCAGTTCTATCTTTTGCTCGATTTCCCAATCTTAAATTCCGTTCTCTACATTTCAGCCACAATTTGCAATTTTTTGTTTTTAAACCCTCATGAAAATTCACCAGAAATTTTAGTGCAAATTTCTCCTAATAAACACATTCTGGGTATGCACTTTCGACTAATGGAAACATTTTTGCAGGCAGCTTCTTCAAACATAATGTATGTTATTTTTACAAATATGTTGTTTTTTATGCACACTTGACCCTACATATGGGCGCGGGTGGCACTGTGGGTTAAAGCCTCAGCGCCTAGGACTTGCCGATCGAAAGGTCGGCGGTTCGAATCCCCGCGGCGGGGTGCGCTCCTGTCGCTCGGTCCCAGTGCCTGCCAACCTAGCAGTTCGAAAGCACCCTCGGGTGCAAGTAGATAAATAGGGACCGCTTACCAGCGGGAAGGTAAACGGCGTTTCCGTGTGCGGCTCTGGCTCGCCAGATGCAGCTTTGTCACACTGGCCACGTGACCCGGAAGTGTCTCTGGACAGCGCTGGCCCCTGGCTCTTAAGTGAGATGGGCGCACAACCCCAGAGTCTGTCAAGACTGGCCCGTACGGGCAGGGGTACCTTTACCTTTACCTGACCCTACATATATGCATCTTTCATAAACATTGTTTGTGAATTCAAAAGGATGGCTGTGCTTGAGTTCTCATATTGTTTCAGAAAGTGCAAATTTCATAGATTCACATTTAAATGTGTCAGGGGCTGGACTGAGGAGGAATGGTGGGGGCCACCACCCCTTCTCCTGAACCTTCCCAAGAACAGGAGGACAGTATAGATTTAGAACAGTGGTCTGCAGAAGGGCATGGTTCAGAGGCTGCAGAGAGCAGAGCTGGGAAATATTGGAAGAGGAACAGCAGGAAGAAGCAGCAGCACCAGGGGAGAGACAGCTGACAGACTCAGTGTCCTTGGAAGGCATTCATAACCCCCCTTCTCCCAGGACCAGACAGGCATTGAGGGTAGTACAGCAGAGAGCTCAGCGGCAGAAGGCTCAGATTAGCCGACACATGACTGATGTAGAGTAGGGGAGATGAAGGAGGGGGACTGCAGTTAGAGCAATGCCATTTCTAGAGAGAGACCACATTCTTTTGTCCCTCACTGTGATTATTGAATAAACTAATTGGTAAGAACTCTTCTCTTTTTATCTGGTTCTTTGCTGCCACCAGAGGAGGGTTCCGATTCCCTGAAACCTGACAAAATGTGAACATAAGCAATCTTCCCTGGCTTCTCTACCCATGGGTATTTACATTTGTGGGGCACTTCCTATCTTTCAATCCCATATTTGCATAGGTGGGCTTAGTCAAGGGCACTTTGGCTTAGCTTTCACAGAGGCTATACCATGGATGGAAAGTCTGTTATTTAGTGGAAGAGCATGTGCATTGCATGCAGAGGGACCCAGGTTCAGTTCCCTACATTTCCTTGTTGGTTTATCTATGTATCTGTTTATCTATTCATATTCATTTATGCGTTTTAATCTGCTCTTACATAAGGCTGACTACAATATATAAGGATAAAATCAACAAAAGATCCATAAAACATCATTAAAACCACAAATAAAACCAATATCAATCAATACTGATTAGTTAAAAGAGGGGAAAATCTGGTTTTTCTTTTTTAAAAGTATTCATGAAAGTTCATTGGCATTATATTGTGAATTTCTGCTAATGAAACAATTTTTGCAAAACAATCTCCCCTAATAAAATGCTTTTTTGTATGTGTGTGTAAACTCATTGCTTAACTCACTTGAGCTCAGTATATACATTTTTTTGTACACATTTATAGGCTGGAGAACTGTACTGTGAAATTTGAAGAAGTGCAAATTTCAAAGGAGGACTGTCTTTTGGTACATGTATTGTTTTGGAAAGTTCACAGTGGGTTGGTTTGCCTTTAAATGTGCGCTAAATCCAATGTATCTTTCCACTCGGACCCCATGTTGTGGTGGAGGGCCACAGGTCCCCCACCTCTGCAGCAGAGGTAGATAATAGTCTAAGGATAGTTGGGCAAAGAAAATATGAACGACAAAGACTCACCACTGGAGTTCGGCCTTGAGTACTGAGATAGTAAAGGAGGCCCTTTGTGTGGTAAATGGTGGGCTGGCATGCTGGACTGGGATTCAGCCATCGCCTATTCAAGTCATCCGCACTTAAGGAGCATCGTTGGCTAGAATCAAAGAAGAAGGAGAAATCTAAGAATGAAAAAAGAAAAAGATTGAAAACCGCAACTCGGTAATTCTCACAAAAGGTGTTGAGAGCCAGGGCAGGCTTGGCTACTCACACTGTTCTTTATTCCTGCACACTTTCAATTTTGATGGAATTGAATGAAGTCAAATCTCCAGAGTTGTTTATTTTAGAAGCTTCATTTCTGTGCTGTATTCATTATCACTTTCTTTGCCTGCTGAGGCATGTACTGTTGGACTTAACAATATTAGGGGCAGTCTTATTTTTACAGTGAGAGCAATATGTGTAATTCAAAAAAAAGACTATTTCTTGTAAAATACTTTGCAAACATCCGTACCTAAGAGATGCTACACAGGAGTGTTGCTTTAAATAGCTCCCTGTTGGCTGTATAATGCGAGCGGGGCTCTATGGTGACGCATTTCTCCCCAGGTACAACTTGACCAGGGCTGAAAATTGGCCTCAGATGTCCTGAAATATATACTAAACTTGCAGATATCCAATGAAGCTGAATACTGGAAGCTTCAAGACAGATAAAAGAAAGTACTTCTTGACATAGTGAAACTATGAAACTAGCACCCACGGGAAGCAGTGGTGGTCACCAACTTTACAAGAGGATTGGACCAATTCATGAAGGATAAGTCCAAGCATAATCTTCAGCCTGGGGGCCACGTTCCCTGGTAGGGAGGTCCAGAGGTCATGTACCAGTGGCAGAGAAGGTGCGATGGAAAAGTGGGGAGAGCACTGGAGGTGGTTCTTACCTTTGATCTGTAGCTTGTACATTCCAGTCGTGCAAAACCCAGGTTTTCAGAGAGACACACACCACACATCTCTCCATACTCCTTGCATACAAGCAATTGGCTTTATCATAGTTCAATGACACATTCTAACCAAGCAAAAGCACTCAAGGGAGGGTGTGGCCTGTGAGAGGGGGTGTGGCCTGTGAGAGGGAGTGTGGCCTGGGGAGCATTATGGCCTGAGTTCCAAAGGCCAACTAGGGAGGCTAGAGGGTAGCTTTTCATCCTTTGCCTGCAGCTCCCAGCCCTGCTTTAACTGCAGCATCCGGAGTGTTTGAACTGGGAGTCATTTGCATAGCAGCTTATGTAAACCACTGCTGGATTATATAGCCTTTCTGTTGTGTACAGCCAGAAGGGGCTCTCGAGTTACTATATCCAAATCATTATCTAGTTTTGTAAAATATTAATGGTCTGTACTGAGCACAAAGTTACAGGCTTTTATAGATTGCCAGAAGTATTGAGGGTTTTATTTCTCATTCTGCATAAAGCAATTTATTACATACTTTGCCGTTTGCTTTGTTTTTATAATAATGCCTTAATTTAACACCTTTTTTTAAAGGAAAGGCAAATGTGCTTGAGGCTTTCTTCATTATTATTTTTTTACAGCATCACTAGCTCCACTAGAGCATTATTCCTTTCTCTCGACTCTCCTTCTTGACCCTGCAATTTTAGTCATCTGCCCCCTTACAATGCATGCTGTAGATAGTAAAGCACTTGCAGTTTCTCATCCTCAGTGAACTAGAATCTGCTATTAATGAAAAACGGTACATTCTGTACAGCTGGTGTCCATCTCATTCATAGTGGCTGGGGCTGGTGGGAGGTGTAGTCCAAAACATCTGGATGATTTGGGGAGATGCTCGAGGGAAGCAGAAGCTAACATCATGCCCTGCAGATGTGGCTGGATTCCAGCTCCAACCAGCCACAGCCAACATAGACAATGATCGGGATTCAGGAACCCATGAACTGGCCTGATAACTGAGTCAGACCATTGGTCCATCTAGATCAGGATCATCTACAGTGATTGGCAGCAGCTTTCCAGGGTTCCAGACAGGGATTATTCCTAGCCCTACTTGCATACCCGCCAAGTGTCCCAGAAAAAAGGGACATCCCATATTTACATGTGAGATCGGGGTGGCCATTTTAGGTGTCCTACTCTCGCCCAGGAAAAATTGCTTTTCATAGAATAGAATCATAGAATTTTAGAGTTGGAAGGGACTCTCAGGGTCTTCTAGTCCAACCCCCTGCAATGCAAGAATCTCAACTAAAGCATCCATGTTTTTTGGGGGGTGAGAGGGCAGAACAGGTCTCATGACTCGCCTGGGAGCATGTCCTGGAAGATGCACATCCTGAGGGTTTTTTTATCTGAAAAAGTTGGACAGTATATACTTGGAGACGCCAAGGATTGGAACTGTGAACTTTTCCATGAAAGAAGATTCTCTACCAAGAAGCTAGAATTTCTTCCTTCTTCCTCCTCTTCCAGTGCATGCCAACAACCAAGCAGAGAAAAAAGGAAGCTTCCTATGTTCCTATGAATTTGATCCTGTTATTGTTGTTGTTGTTGATGATGGTGGTGGTGGCATTTCCCCACAAATAAACAGCTATATCTTTGTGGGCTTATTGTCAAGGCTCAATTACTAGAGCCACACTGAGCTGAGGAAGATGCTGTCAATATGCATTCACAAACTGCTGTACAAGACAATAGAAAACAGGAAGTTGCCTTATATTGAGTCCAACCATTAATCCACCTAGCTCAGTATTGTCTACAATGGCTGGCAGTGGTTCTCTGGGGTTTTAGTCAGCAGTTTTGCCCAGTGGGTAAAGGACCCCTGGATGGTTAAGTCTAGTCAAACTGGACTATGGGGTGTGGTACTCATCTCGCTTCAGGCCAAGGGAGCTGGTGTTTGTCCACAGGCAGCTTTCCAGGTCCTGTGGCCAGCATGACTAAACTGCTTCTGGCACAACGGAACACAGTGACGGTAGCCAGACCACACGGAAACGTCGTTTACTTTCCCACTACAGTGGTACCTATTTATCTACTTGCACAGGTATGCTTTCGAACTGCTAGGTTGGCAGAAGCTGGGACAGAGCAAAGGGAGCTCACCCCGTCATGCAAACTCAAACTGCCGACCTTCTGATTGGCAAGTCCAAGAGGCTCAGTGTACCTCACCATCTCATGTCCAAGGGGGCAGTGGCTTCATGGGCACCAGGTGACAACCTTTACGAGCCCCATTGGGCTCATGGGAACCACACTGGTGATCTGGGTTAGAGTGTTGAACCTGGGCTCAAATCCCCAGTCAACCAAGAACCTCACTAGGTGCCTGGGCCAGTCACTGTCTCTTAGCCTACCCTAACTCCCAGGGTTGTTGCGGGGATGAAATTAGGAGGGGGAGAACTACAGATGCTCCCTTGAGCTCAGGTGGGATATAAATGCCACAAATAAATAAATGAACCACAGCCTTGTGGTGATGGTGGGGGTTAAGTTCTCCTTGGGAATGTGATGTGCTTCTTTTAAGGTGGGGAGGAAGAGCGATGGCTTCCTACTCCTTTGTGCTTCAACTGAGAACACGGCCCAGAGATTCCATAATGTGCCGACACAAAGCTCTCCTTCCCCTTGTTCCTTGGCAGGAGCCATTTAGCCGCACATTGCATTGATGCTGCCCCATGCTGCTCCAAAGGCATCCTGGTGTGTACTTGCATCTCTTTCCCTTCTATAGATATTCTTGCCCACTGCCGACACTGCTTTCCTCACTCTTATTAGGATGCGCAGTGAATTGCAAAGCGGCTCTCCAGCTATCAAACACAATATGTCCCTTTAGATTTTTATAGCTGGCTGTGCCCCAGGTGCTATTATTATCAGTCCTAACATCACTCACTCCATATGATGGGCCCTGTCTTTCTAGTTATCTGTAATGGGCAGAAGATTTTGGAATCAGTTTTATCTCCCTGCTGCAGCGGCATTTTCTCCCTAAGAAGTGACTCGTGACTCCCTCCTGCTCTCTTTGTCTCTCTCATTCTCTAGTGTTTCATTCTCTTCCCTTTTGTATTATGCCTACTGTGGTTTTTGGTCTCCTTATCGGTGTCTGCATCTGAATTTGTCTTTGTTTCCCTCCCTCCCTCCCTCTATTTGTCTTTCCCTTTCTCACTTAGTGTTTCTTTTGCTGAATCCTTCTCTCTCTATTCTTTCTTTTTTATTTTTTAAAAACACAAGTCTTTTCCTTTACCTGCAGCCAGTTCAAATGTCAATCCTATATACCAGTCCTCACCAACCTGGTGCCCTCTAGATGAGCCACGTTCACACCTTACATTTAAAGCACTGTGATACCACTTTAAACACAGCCACGGCTTCCCCCAGAGAATCCTGGGAAGTGTAGTTTGTTAAAGGTGCTGAGAGTACCGGTAGTTAGGAGACCTCAACTCCCCTCACAAAGCTACAGTTCCCAGAGCATTTAATAATCTATCCCTCTGCATGGGAAATTCTGGGACTTCAGCATGGGAGTAGGGGGTCTCCTAAGAACTTTTCGCATCCTTGTTGTTGTTTAGTCATTTAGTCGTGTCCGACTCTTCGTGAGCCCATGGACCAGAGCACGCCAGGCACTCCTGTCTTCCACTGCCTCCCGCAATTTAGTCAAACTCATGCTGGTAGCTTCGAGAACACTATCCAACCTTCTCGTCCTCTGTCGTCCCCTTCTCCTTGTGCCCTCCATCTTTCCCAACATCAGGGTGTTTTCCAGGGAGTCTTCTCTTCTCATGAGGTGGCCAAAGTATTGGAGCCTCAGCTTCAGGATCTGTCCTTCCAGTGAGCACTCAGGGCTGATTTCCTTCAGAATGGATAGGTTTGATCTTCTTGCAGTCCATGGGACTGTCAAGGGTCTCCTCCAGCACCATAATTCAAAAGCATCAATTCGTCGGAGATCAGCCTTCTTTATGGTCCAGCTCTCACTTCCATACATCACTACTGGGAAAACCATAGCTTTAACTATACGAACCTTTGTTGGCAAGGTGATGTCTCTGCTTTTTAAGATACTGTCTAGGTTTGTCATTGCTTTTCTCCCAAGAAGCAGGAGTCTTTTAATTTCGTGGCTGCTGTCACCATCTGCAGTGAACAATCTACAACTCCTGGAATTCTTTTGAGGAAGCCATGACTGTTGAAAGTGGTACCATAGGCCACATTCACACCATACATTTAAAG